CCTCCCCGATCCTTCCAGCCCCCCCCCCGGCCCGCCAGCCTCGGAGTCGCCGGGGGTGTGTGTCACTCTCCAGGTCTTCCCTCTGTAGCCACACACACAGAGGTTTTGGCTGTAGTGGGCATGGCCAACTCTGAAGCCAGCCGGAACTCCATTCCTGTGTGTTCCTGCCCCAAAATAGCCCTGACTATGATAGAACATACCAGACACACACACACAAGTTCAGATACTGACCAGCAGTTGGAATATACACCTGCTCCTCTCCACTAAAAGCTCACTGGAGAAAGATATCCCTGTAGCAAATGGGAGACAAGGGTGTGATTCCCAGTGAACTTAGATTTGATGAGTGTCCAGAAGATCAACATCCAAACAAGGACAAGGATCATTCTGTCCGCAAGGTTATAATTTCCCTTATTTATGAAGAAATTTAGGGACCATCTTGGCTTCCCTTGCCCTTTTCTTCTCTGTAATGACAGCTATTTTTTGAGGAATCTTCCTTAAATCCCTGGAAACTCCAGTCATCAAGGCCAACAACTGAGATCTTTCTTACATTCTCCTCCTCCTCTCCCTGCTGTTTTCCTTCCTGTCCTCCTTCCTCTTCATTGGCCAGCTCAGGAAGGTGACCTGCATCTTCCACCAGACTGCCTTCAGCATCATCCCCTCTGTTGCCATCTCTTCCCATACTGGCTAAAACCTTCACAGTGGCCACAAAGCCAAGGAATATGATGAGGAAATGGCAAGGATAGAGCTTACCAAGCTCTGTCATCCTTTCCCTGTTCTGGCCTTCAGTCTGCACTATCTGCCTGGGAATATCTCCTTTTTTCCAAGCTCTGACCTACACTCGCTGTCTGGACAGATCACACTGCAGTGCAGTGAAGGGTCTGTCACCATGTTTTATATGGTCTTTGGCTACATGAGCTTCCGGGCTGCTGACCATTTTATGGTGGCTTTTCTGGCCAGGAAGCTGCCTGGTTCATTCAGTGAAGCCAAGCATGCTCTTCTTCTGCGGAATTTGAGTTTCTTTCATGCCCACTGACCTGACCAACAAGGGGAAACACACGCTAGCTGGGCAGGTCTTCTCCATTTTAGTCTCCAGTGCTGGTTTGCTGGATTGCATTTTCCTTCCCAAATACTACATCATTGTACTGGGGCCCAATCTGAACACAAAGGAGCATGTAATAATGCAAAAGAATGAAATTATGTAATTCTAAGGGGCATTGTTTAGAGAACACAAGGGAAAATACCCCTGCCTTGGTCACTTCAATTTTTCAAAATCACTCAAAAAAACCTTATGTCTGGCTAACCTGCTGGTTTTAGACTGTATCTTTTATATTACCTACCGTAACTGAAGGCATAAATCCACTGACTTGAGAAAGGGTGACTTCCCCTTGATATCATTGATATGGTTGCCAGATAGAGCTGGCTGGCTCACTCCCAGAAGGTGATTTACTACAACCCCAACACAAAGGATCCCCAAAAGTGAGGACGATCGGGAGAGTGAGGGAGCAGCAAAGGAGAACCAAGGATCTCTGGGGTCACGAGAAAGAAGCTGGAGAAGAGAAGAAGGACGCCGAGGCTTCAGAGAGCAAGTGCAAGGAGCTTGCAACGACCTCCCCAGAAGACCCATCGAATGAATCTTAACGTCAAACCGAGGAGGCAAAGGCAGGAGACGAGGAGGCGGTCCCAACAGACGGGAGGCAGAACACCACAGATCATTGGCCCTGTTGCTTTAAGCTGGGGAACGGGTTGAGTGGGAATAAAGAGGAGAGAGACACACAGCCAGGGAGGATTAAATCGGAGCAAAACAAGGACTAGAGTACAGCTGTGAAGTAACACTGTCCCAGGCAGGCCCGTAGCCCACGTGGGGCCCATGGGGCTGGCCCCCCCCACTGGTTTTGCGGGCCCCCTCCCTCCCGATCCTCTGCTCCCCCCCCATCCTGGCCCGGCCCCGCCTGGAGGCTGGCAACCCTCGCTCCAACTCCCCGAGGTCTCCGCCAACCAGGACGCGCCGTGCCGCTCTCACCCGGCTCCAAGTTCCGTGGCGCTCCCCCAAGGCCCTCCTTCCCAGGCTGCCCTCCTTCCCGGCCTTCCGAGGCCCCAGGGCGCGGTGTACAGCTACGACGGCGGGGAGAGCTTGCAGGCACTGCGAGTTCGCCAGGGCCTTCCAAAGCCCCGGGGCGCGGCGTACGGATACGGTGGGGGGGGGAGAGCCTGCAGGCATTGCAAGTTCGCAAGGCTGGGAGGTAACCCGCGGGCGGGCGGCGGGCGGGGGAGGGGAGCCAGGCAGCCCGGCCAGGAAGAAGGTGCACCACCGCTTGCCCTCTCCTCCCCGTGCACGGCGCACGCGGGACACTCCGCTCAGCTGGCCTGGAAGGACGGCTCCTCGGCTTGGCTGGAGGGAGCACCCCTCTCTCCCCAGCGGCGTGGCTTGGCTTGCTCCTAGTCACCTCCTCTCTCCTTCCCCGCCTCCCCTTCACCTCCCAGGGCTGCTCCGGCGCCTTCAAAACCCAACAGGTGCAGCTCACACTCACTCCGCTTAGAGGGGACACTGGGAGAGAGAGGGCCGAGAAGGGGGGAGGGCATTACGTCACATCTGGGGGTGATGTGTGTGTGGCGTGTGTGCACGCACACACTCCAGCCCCCTTACTTTCCCCAGGGCCCCCCCACTAGGAAGGCTTTAACTACGGCCCTGGTCCCAGGGAGTTTCACTCTGATAAATAGGGAAGAGTACCCGGGCTAATGGGGCCCTCACCTATGTTCTGAGGCTAGTGCGGTGTTGGACCTCCTTTCCTGTAACTTGCGTTCTCCAGTAGACGAGCAGCTCTCCTAGGTAATCCCAGAAACCTGACAATGGTGTCATGATTAATAGCGAGTGGTATTGGAGGGGACCAAGCAGGTTAGGGGAAGGGTCAACAGACATTCGTGAGCTCTTGTACTTTCTCGCTCTTTTTCCAGCCAGGGTGTTGCTGGTGACACTACAGACAACCTGCCAGGCTATAAAATCTTGGTGCTAAATGCTAGGTTAATTAGAGGGGGAAAAGTAGCCATGTAGGGTTTAGTCCTGAATGAGAGGGCTTGTCCTAGCGTGTATCATTTGTACTTGGTGCCACCTGTGGTACTTGGTGATGCATCAGCATAGGCCAGTAGAGTCCCATCCTCCAGGTGGGGCTTGGAGTTCTCCCGGAATTATAAGCCCTCCAGACAACAGAGATCTTTTCCCTTGGAGGAAATGGCAGCTTTGGAAGGTGGACTCTATGGAATCACATACCTGCTGAGCTCCCTCCCCTCCCCAGACTCCTCCCTCCCCAGGCTCTGCCTCCAAATAGCCAGAAATTTTCCAAAACAGAGTTGGCAACCCTATTGAGGCTGGGCGGGCAGCAAAGTGATGTCACTTTAGTGCATAGGGACTCAGTCCCGCTAGCACGGTGCGTTCTCCAGGACATTTAAGGTTTTGAGTCTGTGTACCTAATGTCATGACTGAGAGACAGGATTGAGATTGTATTTGGTATCCTGCCCACCCTGCTGCTCAGCCATCTCCCTGACTGAGCTGATGGAGGTGATCTCAGGGGTATTGTTGAGGACTACTAGGCTGATTGTCCTGGGAGACTTCAGCATTCATGCCAAGGCTGCCTTTTCAGGAATGACTCAATACTTCATGGCCTCCATGACAGCCATGGGCCTGCCTCAGGTAATAATTGGCCCCACACATTGTTCAGGTCACACTCTTGATATAGTATTTTGTTCTGAGCAAAAAAAAGATGATCTGAGGGTGGAGGAATTGATGACAGTTTCCTTATCACACACAGATCACTATCTGCTTGATTTTAGACTTATGGGGATACCAAGACTCTGAAGGAGCGGGGGATCTATTAAAATGGTCTGTTGTCAGAGCCAGATGGATCTAAATGGCAATCAGACAGCTGTCAGGGGATCTTCCTGTTTATATGGTTGGTGCTTCTGTGACTTGGTTTGTGAACTTTACCAAGCTTGGAAGAAGCACTGATAAACAGGGGAGGTGCTGTGGTTCAGTAGTAGAGCATTTGCTTTGTATGCAAAAAGTCTCCAATTCAGTCCCTGGCATCTCTAGTCATAAGGAGTAGGTTAGACGTGAAAGGCCTCTTTCTGAGATTCTGAAGTAAGAACAGACAGTAGTGACTTGGCTAGGCCAATGGTCTGATTCAGTAGGCGGCAGCTTCATATATGTGCTTTTTGCAATATGACATCATCATCTTCTCACTAAACATTACAGCTGGTGTGGTTACTCATGATGGTGCATTTACTTTTGACAGAATATCATGGTATCTATTGCAATGTGTAATGAACAAAGTTAATGTTTCAAATCGCAGGTGGGTCCTTTCCATCGTCCATTATCTATTTACAGTAGGCTCGGCTTGTAGTTACCTCGTTCCCTCCCTAAAGTTAAACAAGAGATTTAAGTTTGCATATATTGAAAGCAATCTTTTAGATTTAATCAGATTTAGATTAGATTGAATTACATGAAAAAGAGTCCATTGTGTTCTTGCTGTTTACTCATAGCTCATTAGGAAGACTCCATCCTGGCTACATAGAACTGATTGTAAAGATATACCATCAGAAAGTCAAATGACAATTCTGATTCACAAGAAACGTTCTCTGAGGAAAACAAACCAGCATCTCATTTTACCAATGGAGTAATCATTTTAAGGTACCTGAAGACTGCTCAAGTGCCTTTTCCCCCCTTCCCCCCCCCTTTCTTTTCTTTTCCTGTTTTTATTTTGGGGGGGCTTCATTTCTACTTGGGGGCATTGGAGAATGAATTGCTTGTTTTGCTGTTTTTAAAGTCTTACAATGCTGTTCCAAAGTCATAGCAGAGCTAAGCAAAAAAAAAATACTTAAGACATTTTACCCACAAATATAATGCTTTTGAAATAATAATTGAAAACAAATTGCAATACATTTAAAAAATAGTGTCACGTGAAAATTATCATGCAATGTCTCCACTTTCTGGAATATAATTTTTCTTTGAAGACAAGCATGATAGCTGCACTTTACTTTTATCACAGGATGCAAAACAAAGCAACCAGCAGAATTCTTTTAAAAAATCAGATTGCTCATGCATGGATATTTAAAACCTTCTTTTGGCCCAAAGGTTATGAAATGCCTGTGAAAGCCTCCTGAAGCATGCAGGTCAACTGGACTTGTGGCACACTTTTTTTCACGCTCAAGGTTGATCAGTTGAAACTGCAAGAATCAGTGTAGCTGTGGATACATTACCAATGCGGGGGCAGCAATGCACAGAAGTGGCACTTCTGCATGATCCCAGCACAAAGTGGGTTTGCACAGTCACAGGAGAGATTGCATGTATCAACCAGGTTCTTCTCTTAACATAGGAGTCAGTTATTTGTGTGCAACACTAGAGTGTACAATGGTTATTAAGCCCTACCGTTTGTTGCTGCTTTTTGTGAAATGTTGCTTAGAGCCGTTCTGTCTGAAAGGTGATGTGTTTCTAAATCCTTCCTGTGTCTGTAACGCAATTGTGTGGCAATGCAGGTGCTTTCCATTGTGGTCTGAGTGAGCTGGCAGTTAAGATGTTGTATAATATGTTGAACAGTTAAACAGAAATTCACACCATCATCCTAATCCAACCATTTCTAATGAGTTCAAGATGTCTGGTGCACATATAGAGCTAACAAGAACTCCTTTTTTCAATGCAGTGGAGGAAACAGATCTGCATATCAAATGACTGAGGGGGGACATGATAGAGGTTTATAAAATGATGCATGGAGTGGCAAGAGTTGACAAAGAGAAAATTTTCTCCCTCATCCAAAATACTAGAACTCAAGGGCATCCAATGAAGCTGGTGGCCAGTAGATTCAGGGTGGGCAAAAGAAAATACTTCTTTACAAAGTGAA